GGATCTGGCCACCCCACCAGCCCCCACAAGGACAGTGGAGAGGAGGGCTTGCCACAAGGGCACCAGGGGCTTGCCGGAGAGGTGGAGAGAGGCAGAGCCCTTGTTTACAGATGTTCGTTTGGCCCTGAGACCCCAGAGACCTCCCTGCAGCCCAGGGGGTGCCCTGTGCCCAGTACCCTGCCCCTGCCCTTTGGTTCTGCCACAGCAAGGCTCTGCAGGTGGCGCAGACCCTAGGAGAGGGACCTGGGCCTGCCCTTAAGAGGAGCCAGCCCGAGCCTCCTGGGTCCAGTGCTGAGGCCTGGGCCAGAACTGAACAAAAGGGACTCTCCAGGTTCTCTTACCTTGTAGTAAGGCTCAGGGTTCACGAACACATGGCATTGGGAGAAGGTGGCGCCAGGGTCCATGAGCAGGGAGCACCAGTGCTGAGCGTAGTTTTCTAGGGAGGCAGGAGATTGAGACCACTCGATCACCCTCCCCTGTGGGGCCAGGACCCCAGAGCAAGCACAGGCTACCCCCTCCCCCAACCGGGCAATGACTGCTCCCTACACTGCGAATGAGCGCCAGGATTCAGGATGCATCCCCTGCACCCCAGGGGAGCTTCAGACTAACTAAATGAGGAGAGAGGGGAGCCTCCTTCTCCCACAGACCCATCAGCAGTCTTGCCCTCCTCAGACACCCTTCCCCATGTCTCCAAACAACTCCAGCCTCCATGGTCCCTTCTCCCAAGATGGTCCCCAATGCCCTCCCACTCCCCTGGGTTCCTGTGTCTTCTCCACCCTGTCCAGGCTCTCCCCAGAGAAGCTCCTTAGAAGCGACACCCCACGAGGCCCAGGTACCATTTTCTATGCTGAGAGAGCACGGGTTCTCGAAGCTGTTTTTGACATTGGCGCAGTCGGCCTGGGTCTTCCAGGTGTTGGCAAAGGCTGCTCCTGTCCCTTCCACCACCCCACTGATGGCTGTGAAATCATCTGCCTGGTTCTGGTTGAAGTTTCCGCAGAGGCCTGGGGAGGAGGGTGGCACGGGGCAGGGAGAGAGTGCTCAGAATAAGCTCTTCCCAGAGCAAAACACCTCTCTTGACATTCCCCCTACATGGACCCTGCTGTCCCTCTAGCCAGCGAGTGAGCGGCTCAAAAAGAGACTACAGAGCAGATTCCTTCCCGTCCAGCAGGTCCTCCCAGGGGCTCTCCCCTCCCCTTACCAGGGGAATGAGAGGCCGGCACGGCACAGGTGCCCAGGCCATGGCAGGGGAAGGGAGGGAGAACCTCCCTGTCTCAGTTTGGGGCTCAGGGCAGTCGGCCTCTCCCTCAGCCAGTCCCATGGGCAGCAGTCCTCACCACACATCTGGCCGCGGAAGGAGGGATCCAGCCGCACAGACACCTGCATGAAGGGCACCAGCTGTATCTGCAAGAGCAGGCCGAAGGCGGCGTGGACCAAGATGAAGTAAGTCGTGGGCTGGAATATGGTGATGTCAGCTACAGACATAGGCGGGGAGGGGCAGAGTCAGAAGGCGGGAAGGAGGGAAGGAGGGAGACGCTGGCCGTGCTGAGAACTAGCCTTGGACACACACACGCAATCAAATCATCAGCCAAGATGTTTGCTTTGCATAATGCTGAGGCTTGGCGTCTGAATGTCCAGATCCTGTCCTGAGGCAGGGGCACAGGGTAGGGGATCTCCAGTGCTCTGGAGTCCATTTCATGGTTCCAGAGTTGGGTGACCCGAGGGATGGCCCTCACTCACTCTCCCTTGAACCTGGCCTTATGAATGATTTGGGGTTTGAAGTCAGGGGTGAAATGAATGTTCGCGGGGGTGTGGGGCCCAGCCAGCCCTGCTCCCTTCCAACGTGGCCCAGAACCTGCTCTTAGACTTTTTAAGGGAGTAGTGACCGGGAAGTTGTTAAGGGCCATGCCCACAGGTCCCCAGGTGACCTCACACAAGGCCCTCCCCATCTGAGGCTCAGTCTCCTCCTCTATAAAATAAGGGGATTGGCCCGGGTGGTCTCTAGGGGTCCCTAAATCCTCCACTTCGGCTTGCTAGGATGAGGTGTGGCTCCTTCATCTGCATTAGGGCCCCAGGATCTCAAGGAAGGAAGGCACCTTCTTCTTCCTCTGGCCACCGTCAGAGACCCTGAGGCTAAAGCTCCTCAGAAGCTGAGCCCAGGGATGCCCACCCAGGTCTGCCCTCTGCTGTGTCTTCTCATCTTAGAGAACACAGCCTGGGGGGGTTTATGTGACCTGGCTGAGCACCACCAGCTGCTGGCTGAGGCCTGACTGGTAGAGCTCCCCAGGGAGGTCAGGCCCTCACTCTGGGGAGCCCAGCCAGATGGAAACCCTTCTCACTTCGAGGGAGAACGTGCCAGGCTGCTTGACATGGCTTCCCCAGGGTGATCGGATCCAAGGTCAGGTGTAAAGAAACCTCCCTAATGTGGGGACTGTGACCCCATGGGAGGTTCTGAGCAAGTTACAACAACTTGGGCAGGGGGAGTTACCAAGGCCAGAGGCCCAGCCAAGCCTGAGTTGGATCTGGGTGGGCCCCATGCTTCCAGGCACACCTGGCAGAGGCACCTACCTGCAGAGATGGGTAACTGTGTGTAGATGGAGTTTACAAGCACGCCCCCATTAGACTGGATCCTGATGACCTGGGGGAAGAGAACCAGAGATGGGGCTGTCCATCCCTCTGGGGCTGGTCCTCTATCCTGCTCCCAGCAGCCCTAATGATCCTCTTGGTGCCTCGGCCCTCCCAACTTCTCCCCTGACGGCTCCTGGTTCTTCCTGCTGGGGCCACAGAGAATGAAGTTAAGCCCTTCTCCAGGCCTGAGCGTAGCTCCTGGGATCCTTGGAGGGCCTGGGTTCAAATTTGGATTCCTCCACTTCCTCGCTCTAGTGCCCTTCTTGGAGCCCCCGTTTCCTCCTTGGTAAAATAAGGGAGCTGGGTCAGATGACCTGAAAAGCCCCATCCAGCTCTGGGTGCTCTATCCTGGTATCCTTCTGAGCAGGGGCCCCTACAGCTGCCCGGGCCTGCTTACCGTCTCTCCTCCATTCAGGTTCAAGGTCACTGACTTGAGGCAGTTTTCATTGTCGGTCATACCACACCTGCGCAACTCCCCCAGGATGGTGAAGGTGGCGTCCTCACACTTCTGATGGGGCAGAATTCCAGAGTGGCGTCATTTGTGTGTGTGTGTGTGTGTGCAAATGTGTGTGAGAATTATGTGTGTGAATTCATACCTGTGTGTGAGTGTGCATACATGTGTGAGTATACATGTGTGAGAGGGTATATGCGAATATATATGTGTAAGTGCATATGTATAAGAACATATATGTATCTGTGTGAATGTGTGCAAGTACGTATGAATGTATATACATGTAATTATAAGTGTGTAACTGTATTGTGGATGTGTGTGAGAGTGTACATGTGGATGTGTGTGGATGTGTATCTGTGAGTGTAGGTGTATATATGTAAGAATGTATGTGTATGTGCGTGAATGTGTACGTATGGATTAATTGTATCTGTGTGTGTGTGTGTGTGTGTGTACGAGTGCACATGCATGTGTGAGTGTCTGTGTGCCTGACCACCTGCACACACAAGGCGGGCCAGCAGGCATGCCTCCTCCCAAATGTCTCAGCAGCCTAGGTCGTCAGAGCTGAGGGGAGCTTGGAGGCTTGTGTCCCAACCTCATAGCCTGAGCTTCAGCCCTGGATCTGCTCCTCTGGAAGGCAGGGGTCCTAGAACCTTTAGGACAGGCCCTACAGCGCAAATCCCCTATAGGACAGAAGCCTCCTGAGGCTCAGTGAGGCCAGGGGCTGCGTGACTCTCATGGGGACTGCTTGATGACACCCTCCCAGAGGGTGTTGGCTTGGTTCCCAAGGAGGAGAGGCACTTTCCCTCTCCTCCTCCCTCTCTCTTTTCATCTGCCTCCCTCTTTCCCATTCTGGCTGTCCAGTGCCCAATGGTTACCTTGGACAAGACATAGCTGCAGTCCCCATGAACGTTGTAATGCTTCTGGTCGAAGGTGGTGATGTGGGACCCGCCCTCCACGGAGCATGTGCCTGAGCACGGCAGTTCCTCACATTGCCAGAGGCCAGAAAGGCAAGTGCTGGAGCGGATGCAGAGAGAAGGATGGGCAGGTCAGTGATCAGGCCGCTTTCAAAGGAATGCGTGGGCTTAGGGGGAGGCTGCCCTAGAAACATCTGGAGCAGTAGGGGTGGGGGTGGGGGCAGAGGGGGTGTTACCAGGAGCTGCAGCGTGTAGAGAAGGAGGCTCCAGGCTTGTAGGTCTGGCCATTGTGGGTGCAGTGACATTGGTCCTGGGTCACACAGCCCTGGCCCTGAATGTCATCCAGGACGGTCCCTACGGAGATAGGCAGCACAGGCCAGGAGTCGGGGGGGGTGAAGGGAGGGGCTCTGGTTGCTCTGAGCTGGTGCACCAGGGGCCATCATTCCCAGGGTGAACTCATGGAGGGGGCAGAGAGATGAGTCTGAAGAGGATGCAGGGGGAGCGAACTCATGGCTGTGGGGGATGGGTCCTAGGCTAGTTGACACTTCCTTCTCTGGGCCTTGGTTTCCCAGAGTGTCAGGATCTCAACACTGGGAGAGGGGGCTCTCTCTAGCCCTCAAATCTGTCCACAAATGTGGCCAGTCTTTGTTGAGAGCCCACTGGGGAGAGGAAGCCACCTTGCCAGGCAGCCCTTCCTGCTCTGGGGTGACCCTCATCTCTGGGCAAACCTTCCTGACATGCCCTGGCTGCTGGTTTTTCCCACTGGGGACAACCCCTCCTCCATGGGCTGGCCCTTCCTTTAGATATTAGAAAATGGGGCTGAGGCCACAGTGCCTGGCAGATAGTAAGTGCTGAAGAGTTGCCTGTTGGGCTCTTTTTGTGGTGGCAAAGAATTGGAAATCAAAGGGATGCCCATCAACCAGGGAATGGTTGAACAAGTTATGGCGTATGATTGTAATGGAATACTACTGCGCTATAAGAAATGACAAGGGGGGTGGTTTCAGAAAAACCTGGGAAGACTTAAATGGACTGATGCGGAGTGAAGTGAGAAGAACCAGGGGAACCCTGTACACAGTAACAGAAACATTGTAACAATGTAACTGTGAAAGACTCAGCTCTTCTCAGTGATACAATGATCCAAGACAATTTCAATGGACCAGTAATGAAGCCGACTTCTGCCTCCAGAGAAAGAACTGATATTGACTGAATACAGACTGAAGCAGCTATTTGCACGTTCTTTCATTTTTTTTCTTCTATTCGTGTCTTCTTATACAAAATGACTAATGTGGAAATGTTTTACATAATTGCACATGTATAACCTATATCTGATTGCTTACTGTTTTGGGGAGGAGGGATAGCATTTGGAACTCAACACTTTCAAGAAAAATGTTAAAAAATATATATTTTGGTGTAAAAAACGAAACAAAACAAAAAGTTTCCTGTTGGCCACTTGACCTTCTGTAAGTCTCCAGCTCCCCAGAGCCCCTCCCATCCAGCACTGCTGCCACAGCAGCCTCACACCAGGCCTGGGAGGAGGGGGGTGGGGGGGGAAGGGGAAAGGCGGATGCCACAGCGCCCTGTGCCTATGCCAGGAATGTTGGGGGAGGGGCAAAGGCAGCTCCGGGACTGGGGGAGACTTGCCTGGGGGGCAGAAGCAGCCGTCTATGCAGTGTTCCTCGCAGAGCTGGGACCGCTCAGGGTTGGAGCAAGTGTCTGCACAGGGAGAGCCACACTCGTGGTACTGCATGTTGGAGGGGCATGCCTTGTCTGGAATGGGGAAACCAAGGCAGAAGCTTGTGACATGGAGAATCTCAGTTCTTCTACTTGCCCCTGGGGTGACCTTGGCCACCCAAGTCTCAGTTTGCTCATCTCTAAAATGAGACCATTGGGTTAGACTCCCTGCGAGGGGCCCTGGCAGCTCTGACTTTACAATCCTATGGCCTCAAGAGCTAGGCCCGACATTTGAAGCCCACCACAGTCTGGGACTCTTCTTATTTGCCCCTTTCTGCCCCCAGGCTGCAGCCACAGTCATCACCACCACCCCTCCCCACACACTCACACCACATACACACACACACACACACACACACACAGTACGCATCACACACCTACCACACACCATACATACACAAACACCCACCACACACACACCCCTACCCCCGTACCACACACACACACACACACACACACTCATATACACATCATAAACACCCACCACAGACACACACTCCCCACCCCACACATACCACATACTGCACACACGCACACACTCATACCACACATATACATACACATCACATACCCACCACACACAACATAAACATACACCACAAACACCCACCACACACACATTCCCCATCACACACAACACACACCACACACACATACACACCACATACACTCATACCACACATACACATACATATCACACACCTACCACACACACACCACACCCTCACACACCACACATTCACACCACACACACACTCACACCACACACATACATACACATCACACACATATACACACACATCCCTGCCCCCTCCCACACACACTCACACCCCCCCCCCACCACGCACACACACCATCTCTGCCCCCTCTGCTTCCACGCTCAGGCTCTTCTCAAGGGCTGATGTGGTCTTCCTCTGCTTCTTTGCCTGGCGAACTTCCCCGGCTCCAGCCTATAAAACCTACCTCCTCCAGGAAGTCTTCCCTGCAGCTTTTGCCCAGCCCTGGGTAGGCAGCTGGTGGGAAGCCTGAGGGCCTCCCCTGGCACTTCCCACCGTGAGGGGGGGGTGGGGAAGGGTGCCTTCATGCCCACCACTCACAGCACAGGTCCTGGCTCCTCCAGTTAAGGGGCTGCCCGCCTGCATGGGCACACTGCCTCGAGTACTCAGAGAAGGTGGCACACACACAAGAGGAGCGGTTAGCTTCTTTGCATCCACATAGGTCTTGTACACAGGCCTCCACGTAGGGTTTGGGGTCCACCAGCTGGTTGCAGCCGCTGAAAGCCAGGTCAGTCAGGACCCTGAGGCAGCTGCTTTCCTGGAGGAAGCATGCGGCGGGTTGGTGACCTAGTCTCAATGGCTAGTACTCAGACATAGAGACCACAGAGACTGACTGCCCCCCTGCTCATCTCACAGAGGAGGAAACTGAGGAAGTCTGCAGAAGGGGAGGAGTGCTTCATGTTTCCTGGAAGTGGCTGAGCTGGGATTGGACCTAGAGCTTCCATTCCCCTCCCCCCCAGCCCAACCCCAGGGTGACCAGCAGCTGGTCTCTGAACCTGTTTTCTCCTCTGTAAGATGAGAGTAGGAAGAGTGGATTTGACCAAGGATATCTGGTGCCCCTCCTCCCTGGAGATCCCACCATCCCATGGTCTCCTGGCTCTTTCCAGGACCCTGCTTGGTCTGCCCTTGGCAAAGCCCCATCCAGGGCAGGTTGGGTTCCATCCCCTGACGTGGCTCCCCACCCTTGAGACTTTACTTCACCTCCTTCAGGTTCTCCCCACCTCCCAGGCTGAGAGCCATCTCTGTCCCCTCTGTGCTCCCCCATGAAGTCCTATCTGGGCTCTTCTGCCTTCCTGTGTGCCAGCCGGGCTGGAGGCTTCCACTCTCCCCGCCCCATACACACACTTTTTTTCCTCTCCCACCATCTCCTACCCTCTCATAAATCATCTAACCATCTGTCCACCCATCTGTCCATCCACCTAGCCATCCATCCATCCATCTACCCATCCATCTATCCATCCAGCAGGTGGGACCCTATGATGTTTGCTGAGGGAGAAGCAAAGGTAAGTTGACTCAGTTGGTCCCTCAGGGACATAACAGCTCAACAGAGGGCCACTGGCCCAGGCACGATATGACAGGGTACCAACCCAGCATCACAGGAACCCACGGAGGGGACACTGCTAGGCTTTGAGTCTTGCCAGGTTGGGAGGAAGTGGAATTTGAGGGACAGAGAGGATTCCGACAAGGAAAAGGTAAGGGAGGGAGGGTGTCCCAAGTTCCGAGCCACGATGGAGGGTCTTTCACGCCTTCCTTGTGTGCTCAGTGGCTTCTCACCTCAGCGGTACAGTTGTTCGCTGGGGAAGACACGGGGTCCTGACACTGCTCTGTGGGTCCGTCTAGTTTCTGCAGGTTCCCAAACTGCCAGGTGGTCAGCCGGGCATCTGGAAGAGACACAATGCTGCTAGAGTTCTGGGGAGCAGAGCAGGTGTGGCTGTCTGGAAAGAGGGGCTGGGACGCGGTGTCCTGTGCTGAGGGAGGGCACGCCCAGTATGGGGGATTGATGGAGCCCAGCCCCGGGCAGGGGGGCACTTCCTCAGTAGTGAAGAGGAGGGATCCCTGCCTAAGACCACCCAGGGAGTGCCAGAGACAACGATTGAACCTGACTCCTCTACATCTGGCCCCTGCAGGCATGGAGGCTGGGGGGGAGGGGCTAATATTGATGTTTTCCTGATTCCCTCCCCAGGACTTCAGAAGGCACTGGGCCCAGCCAGGGATTCCTGCCCAGGGATGCACCAGACTAGCTGGCCTGGAAGTACCTCCAACTCCCACATCCTCTGATCCTCAGCAGGGGGAGAGGGAGGGTCCTAAGACCCTCCAGCCTTATCTTCGTGGCCTGGCTGCCCGTGGAGACCAGGAATGATGTAATTGTTCCACTCTGTCCCTCTGAAGGGACCAGCCCTGGGCTGGGAGTCAGGAGACACGGACTGGGGTCTCAACTCCACCACCGTGTGACCTTGGAAAAACGCCTTCCCTCCCTGAGCCTCAGGCTGCACATTTGTGAAGTGGGTGTGTGAACAGTGAAAGGGCTTCACAGAAAACACTTCACTTACCACACATTTTGTGTACAAACGCACACACAGTACCCACAGCTAACACCATTTGGCATCTGATCCTCTAATCACAAACGTACACAATCGGTATGGAGCTGACCTTTATGACTGGGTCAGTGGCCTAACTCTGGACTTCAGCCTCCTTTATCTGTAAAATGAGGTCCCTTCCAGCTCTGAGGTTCTGACTCCTTAGGAGCCCCAGGCCCTGCTGAGCCTGAACTGAGGAGAGACAAGGGCAACTTTGGAAGCTATGAGGAGAGCTTGGGCTGGCTGCCTGCGGGGCTGAGCCGAGCCTGGCTGGACCGGCTTCTCCACTGGGGACATCCCTCCCCTGAGACCCCCTTGCCCACCTTGCGCTCCGTGAGGATGGTGCTCAGGCCAAAGCACCAAGAGCACGGTGGAGGGCCTGGGAAGGGGCTCAGGCGAGGCCTTGGTGAACACCCCAAACCTCACTGTTTGGCAGAGGGGGGCTCTGCCTCCCCCCAAGCCTGGGGCTGCCTGGATGACTGGTTTCTCTCTCCTCTCCTCTCTGAGGCCAGCCCATGTCTCCTGAGCACCCAAAACCAGCAGTGAAGGCCACACAGGGAGGGCGGGGGAGGGCGTCACTCACTGTTGGAGTAGAATTCATTGTATGTGGAATGGCCGTTGAAGTCCCCACAGAGCCCGCAGGTCTGGTTGGCGTATTTTGTAGCCAGTTCCAGCTGAGGAAGATGGAGGGGGGGAGGTGTGAAGAAATGAAGACCGAGTCATTGATTAAGTGGGGGTCAGGTTGTGTGTGTTTGTTCTAGGCGCTCTGGGCTCCTGGGACCAGCGTCTGGGCCAGTCACTGGTTGGGGGGAGGCTCCTATGCCTCATTCCTCTCCTCCTAATGGGGGCGTGAGCCCCTGAGGCTGGGTTTGGCATACAGTAGGCACTTAATAAGCTCTTGTTGACTGACTGACTAGGCTTCCTCGGCCCAGTTACTCCCCTCAGCCATCCATTCTGCATGTGGCCTCCACAGAGATCTCTCCAAAGAGCAGCTCACATCTGACCGTGGCAAACCTTGCTGCAAGATGCTCCCAGATGAAATATGAACCACTGCTGCCTTTTAAAGCCCTCCATAAACCTGGCTCTGACCATGTTCCAGCCCTTCACGCCGTCTGAGCACCACACATCAGACCTCTCCCACCTCCACATCTTTGCCCAAGGTACCCGAATGCCTGGAGTGCCCTTCCTGCCTCACAGAATCTCCAGCTTGTTCTAAGCTCAGCTCAGGGGCCACAAGAGACTTAGCTGGGTCCCTCCAGTGCTAGGATGTCCGCCAGAAAAAGCTGTGTGCGTGTGCCAGACACACATGCACACGTGTATATATGTTGCACACATACATATGTGTGTTTTCTGTTATTTCTGTACAAGCTTGTGTGTCCTTTTCTCTGTTTGTGTTGCTTTTCTCCCAACAGAGTGTGAGCTTCTTGAGGGCAAGAACCAAGTTTGTTTTTTCTGTCCCCAGCACCTAGAGCAGGGCCCGGCGCAAGTGGGAAGAAGCAGCAGCACAGTGAAGGTGCCTTTTGGGTTAGAGTCCAGAACCTGCTTTCTAAAGCAGGAGAGCTTTCCCTCCAGGGACAGTGGCCTCTCCTGCAGGCTGGTGAGGACCAGACAACTCTTCGTGGGGCCTCATGGCGGTGGGGTCTGGCTTTGCTGGCTAGTCCGCTGGGCAGCTCTGGCCAAGGCCTCTTCTGTGGCTGGGGATCGGGAAGGGAATGAGGGCGGGGGTTGGAGCAGGGAGAGGGCTGGCAGCCCCCCTCTTACCAGGGCACTATCATTGCCATTCCACATGAAGGTCAGAACCATCCTCACGCTGACTTGGATGTAGGTGCTACTCGCCTCCACAGTGAACCCAGAGCGGCTGTAGGGCAGCTGCTCCCTGCAAAGAGAGTGGCCAGAAAAGAAAGCCTTTCACCTCAAAAGCCAGCGAGGAGAGCAGCTGGAGGCACCAGGCTGTGGGGCCCCGGATAGGTGGCAGGCCAGCCGAAGAGGCACTGATGCTGGGGCTCTGGAACCCTGGCAAGGTGGGGCTGAACTCCCCTCCATGTGACTGCCCTGTCTGCCTCTGCCTCCGAATCGGTCACCCCCAGACCACTCAGACCACAGCAGGGCCTGGGGGGCCTCCTCTTTAGTTCCTGAGTTACGGAGTACCCCCTGCAGCTCCCTCCCCAGCTGAGAGTTGGCAGCCTTTACCCTGCCCTGCCCTGCCCTGCCCCTAAAGACCTGGGATCTGATAGCCAAGCTCATTATCATTCCCATGATCACAACCATTTATATAATAAGAATTTATATAATTTATAAATATTTATATAATACTTATATATTTATAAGTATTTATATAATGCTTTAAGGCTTGCAAGCCACATTACAAACTGGATCTCATTTGATCTTCCCAAAAGCCCAGGGGGCAGGTGCAACAATGATCCCCTTTCTACTGTTAAGGAAACTGAGGCAGACAGGGGTTAAGTGATCTGCCCAGAGTCACACAGCCAGTGAGTGTCAGAGACCAGATTTGAGCTCAGGAAGGCTCCAGTCCAGAAGTCCTGTGAGCCGTGGCGCCCCACTAGCGGCAGACTGATGGCCCTCATCCAGCTCTCATTAAACCACGGTGCTGAGTTCAGGGTCTATCCAGTGAAGGCTTACAGAAAAGCTCTGGGAGGTCAGGGAGGAGCTGGGTTAACTGCTGTCTTCTCTGGCTGGGAGCCTGGGCAATTTTCTCAGTCTATTTGAATCTTAGTTTCTCCCTCTGTTAATAAGGCGGGGACCCAGATGGCTGCCTGGGCCCTGCCAGCAGAGCCCTCCTCAGGCTTCAGCCATCCAAAGGGGCAGCAGATGGCGGGGGCCAGCCCGCAAGGTGGGAGTGGGGGGTACTCGGGGGGCTCACCGCTGCCCATTGATCAGGACGGATCCGGGAGAGAGCTCCAAGACCGTCCCTTCTGTCTTGATGAGGATGCGGCTGATGGTGGGGGTCTCCCCAACCAGGGAGCGCCGGATCTGAATATTAAAATCCTCATAAGCAGCTTGGCAATGCGAGGCAAAGACATAGTTACACAGGCCAGGGAGCTGGAAGATGTCCCCATCGAAGGTCTTATAATGGAAGCTGCCCCACGTGCTGCACACTTGGCCATTGTGTGAAGGGTTCGAGGCTGGGGGCAAAGGGGAGAGGGGCGGATCAGTGCCCTGGTGGAGAGCTGCCCCCCCCCCGCCCTCCCAAGACCACCAGGCCTGAAGTCTGAGGCAGTGCGTGCCTCCCCCACCCAAGGGCATCCCCAGAGAAATTCTAGTCGCGTCCGTCAGTAGAGCATTAGCCAACGCCCTCATGTGGCAGCACAGGTCGGAGCTTTTCCGTCTAGGCCCTTCCTGGACTGTGAGCTTCCTGAGGGCAGGCAGGGGCTTAATCGGTGTGGGCTGTCATCAGTCAGGACTCCTTCAGGGACCCCTCAACACATGCTGTCAAGTGGTCATCGTCAAACATCGTCAATGAAAGCAGAAAAAGAGATCCATGGAACAGATGACATAGGAATTAGAAGTGACTGAAATGGTTTGAAGTTCCAAGTCAGCCAGGCTGGAGCCACGCGGCCAGCTGGAGCCACGCAGCTAGCCGTCTCACAATAGATCCTTCTGGGATTCATCGACACAGAGAAGGGCCCTGGGTGAGAGGGCCCAGGGCAGGCTTCTCAGCTGCCTCTCCCCTTTCTGGTGCCACAGGCTCAGATTTCTGAATGGCTGCAGGGAGAGGGCAGGCTTACCACTTGCATAGGGGGTGACGGTACCCGTGGGGATGAAGGTCATTCGCGGCATGGGACGGGGCTCAGGCAAGGCCGTAAAGGAGTCTAAGGAGTCGGGAGAAGAAAGCCACGGTTGGTTAATTTAGTCTTCCTGAGGAGCCCTCAGATGCCTGGTCCCCAGGGGGCTGATCGTGTCCTGGCCAGCCTCAGAGCTGGGAAGACCTGCATTCCAATGCCACCTTTGACACTAACGCTACTTGACCTGAGCTTCTCCTTGATAAAATGAGGGGATTGGTCTTGGGAAGATACCTTCTAGTTCCAAATCTATGGTCCTCAGATCTTCCTCGGTGCACACCGGGAAAGCCAAAAGGACCTCTGGAGATACAGAGCCAGGCAAGAAGGGGTTGAAATAGAGAAAGGGGGTGGCGCTCTCTCCACTGTGAATGTGATAAGTCAAGCCATTGTGGACAAGCTTTGGGGTCCTTGCCAACGTCCACCCTTTATGATTGGCTCTCCTATTGACCCAACATTGGGCGAGGCCAACAAAAAGACCAAAGGTCTGCCCTGTCTTGTACCCTCAAGGCCATCCACAGTCTCTCAGATGAGGAAGCCTCTATCCCTTCCCCAGAGGGCCAAAGGCTGACCTGTTGTGACCTCCCCCCACTTAAACCACTAGGCTTTCTGTCTACTCCAAGGGCCCCTCTCCCATGCTTTGGCCAATGTTTTTTTTTTTGCCCTGGGGGCACCATGACTCATGAAGTCAAGCTTTTGGTCAATGTGCCCTAAGTTATAAGCAGTGGACTTTCTCTCCCTGGAGCTCACTTCTTTCTCACATCCCTGGGCTGCGTGAGAGTCTGGGCTTTCCTGGTCTGTCATAGGAAGATGTCCTCGGCCTTTCTTTGATCACCTCCCACAGTGCCTAGGGTGCCTAGGTAGCTGGGTAGCACAGTGGTTAGAGCACTAGGCCTCAGACGCTCACCAGCAGTAAGTCACTTAACCTCTGTTTGCTTTAGTTCCCTCCACTGTGGTGAGGATAATAACAGCACTTCCCTTGTTAGAGCACAGTTCCTGGCACACGGTGGCTGCTGCTTAAATACTTAAGCCCTTCCATTAGCCCCCAATCGCTGGTGGAAGTCCTTGCCGGTTCCCCTCAGCCTCAACATACCGGGCTGTGGACAGTTTCCCTCCCCCACATGGGAAGCCAGCCAATTGAGCCCAGAGAGGAAGGAGAGTTGTCCAAGGCTCAGCCCGGAGACTTTATTGGGGTGTGGAGGCAGCCCTGGATCGATCTCCTTACCATAGTCTGGCTGAGTGTATTCCGGCAGGGCCCCATAAATCGTTCCAGCCTCCTGGGTCTCTGAAGAGACATGGAAAGAATCAGTGACAGGCCCCCAGAGGTTAATGGTGCCCCTCCCCCCACGGCCATCGGCTTTTGGGGCAGGATTCAGGTCAACCCAATTCAGCTGAGTGAACACTAAGCAGGTGTTCTGTGCTAGGCACCCTGCTAGGCATGGGCAAAAAGAAAGCCATGCGTTCTTTCGGGGAACTTTTTTTTTTTGGTTGGGCAATGGGGGTTAAGAGACTTGCCCAGGGTCACACAGTTAATAAATGTTATGTGTCTGAGGTCGGATTGAACTCAGGTCCTCCTGAATCCAGGGCCGTGCTCTATCTACTGAGTCACCTAGCTGCCCCCATCGGGGAACTTTCATTCTACTGCCTCAATAACGCAAGAAGACTCGAAGCTCAGAAGAGACTGCTGCCAGCGGGTGGGGAGTTAACTGACCCTTGTCCAAGAGACAGAGGTGAGCAGGGAAGGGCATTCCAGGCATGGGGGATGGCCTAGACAAAGGTTGGGAGGTTGGAAAATCATGGCCAGGTTATCTGGAATATAGTGAGAAAAAGGAAGCCTCGGCAGTCACCCCAGGAAAGTGAGGCAGGAGCGGTTTAATGGAGGTGAACTGGAGAGAGGAGAGGATGCAGGCCGGAAGCCCGATGAGAAGGCCGCTTCAGTGCTTCAGATGTGAGGTGTGGTGGGGCTTGTGGGACAGGAGAAGCTGATGGATGAGGGAGAAGCCACAAGGCTTGGGACCAGGTTGGACACGGGGAGTGTGAAAGAGGGGAGTGCTGAGGCCGACTCTAAGGCCGGGAGCCCCGGAGCCTGGAGGGAGGGATGGCGGTACCCTGGACTGGAAGGAACGTACTGGGGGAGACAGACGCAAGAGAATGCTCCTTCTAGTTTGGACGTGCGCATGTCCGCGAGATGCCCCGGTGGCCCGGAGGTGTCCAGGGATGCCTAGGTAGTGCAGGCAGACCCACCTTGGGCCAACTTGGCCCGTGAAAGCCGCCTCCACAGCGAATCAAACTGGGCTGGAGCGCATTTACTCGCCAGAAGACAGTGTGTCTGCTGGGCGCCCCAGCTTCATCGAGGACCGGGCCTGATATGCAAAACCTCGGCCGACGCGCAATGCTTTCTGGGAAGTAGCTGAGCTGTAAGGGGAGGATCACCTGGGCACGTGTAGACCTCTGAGGACCGGCCTGTGTTCATGGCCCTGTTCCATCTGTTCCCACGGGGACCCAGAGGCGCTGGCGCCTTGGAGCCCAGAACCTAGCGCTCGTGCCAGGCGTTCCCTGGCAGGCTGGAGGCTTAGCGGAAGGGCCAGAAGCTCAGACCCCATGGCCGCTCTGCCCCAGACCAGCTGCCCTCTTCACTTGGGACTTTGTTCTCTCCTCTGGCCCAGGTCTGAGCTGCTGCAGCTCAAGCTCTCCTCACACTCAGGGAATAGGCAGCTCACAAAAGTTCCATTTTGAGGGTGTGGTATTGACCACTGCCCTGTGGCAGCCTTCCCTCCATCCCATCCTCCAGGGGCAAGACTTGGTGGTGCCAAGCCTGGGTTCCAAGTTCTCCTCCAAAACTGGTGGCACAGTGGATAGAGCATGGCCTTGGAGTCAGGAGGACCTGAGTTCAAATCCAGCCTCAGACGTTTGACACTTACTAGCTGTGTAACCCTGGGCAAGTCTTGTGGCCCTCTGAGCCTCAGTTTCCTCATGAGCAAAATGGGATTCATGGTCCTTGCACTTCCTCCCTCCTAGGATCCCTCACTGCCAAGGAGCAGAGTGTGGCTGAGGCCAGCAGGGGCCTGGGGCTTCCCAGCATCCCCAGAGTTGCTGAGCCATGCACTCTGACCCCATGACCTGTGCTAAGGCTCAGTGACCACACACAAGGGCATTCCATCCACCAGCTTGAGCCCCTCAGGGCTCCTGGCAGCGTCAAAGTTGGCAGCAGCTCCAGCACCTGGCAGGGCTCCCCAGCTCAGTGGCAGGTGAGAAGGGCTGGAATTTCCTGTAGAATTTTCCCAGCTGTGTGCCCTAGTGGCCTTGAAGGCAGGTGGCCAAAGGCCTCTGGTGTCACCACAGGGTCATCTTCTGTCTAGCACCTCTGGGCTTTCCAGGGCATGGATGACCTCTCTGCCCTGAACCAGAGGAATACAGGCCTCAGGTACCTAGAAGCTGGGACTGGTGACCCTAACCATGATGGCTAGCTTGCTTTGAGGTCCTGATGAAAAGAGCCACTGCTCTAAACCTCAGGAGGCCCTTCTGTGAAATGGGGACAAGAGTTCTGACAGGGTCTCCCTTTCAGAGTGACTGGGAGGAAAGCAACCTGGAAACCTGAAAACATGAGGCTAGAGAGAAGGTGCTGTTGTCCTTATTACTGGCATTCCCTACAAGGTGGGGAGAGGCAGAACAGAGATAGCCAGCCAGACAGAAAGTCAGCCAGAGATAGAAATAGAGGCAGACAGAGAGGCTGAGGGAGAGAAAGAGACAGGCAGACAGAGTAGGGAAATAAAGAGACAGAAGATCAGAGACAGAGTCAGGTAGAGAGAAAGAGTGAAAGGGAGCAGGGAAAGGAAGAGACAGAGAGATGAGAGACAGAGAGAGAGAGAGAGGCTGAGAGAAAGAGACAGACAGAGAGGCTGAAAGAGACAGAAAGACAAAGACAGAGACAGACAGAGACAGAGATACAGAGACAGAGACATAGATAGAGACAGACAGGGAGACAGCCAGCGACAGACATTGAGACGGAGAGAAACAGAGACAGAGGCTGAGAGATAGAGTGAGAGACAGAGCAGGGACAGATAGAGACAGAGAGACACAGAGAGAGGAAAGAAGAGGGGCTTCTTCTTCTCCCCCGGTGCCAGGGCCCACAGCAGTTCCCAGCTGATCCAGTTCTCCCCTCTCTGGGGCCAGGAGCCCACCTGAATCAGATCCTGAGGCTCCCACTCTGGTGCCTGATGTCCCTCCTTCCTCCCACTGTCCCTCTCACCTCATCTCACCCCAGGATTCCCCGTGTCTTTCTCAGAGGAAGAAGGAAGGTGGAGAGAGCGCCTGCCTCCAAAAGGCTGAGCCTGAGCCACTCCTGTAGCACACCCTCCAGACCCTTCCTGATACTCTTTCTGTCTAGGGATTAGAAACTAAAGAGACATTGCTCAGCGGAAATCAGTCCCCCTTTTATTTACCAAGGAATGGCATTCCCAGGTGTCATGGGTAGGAAGGACCACAGACAGCCTGGGCCCTGCCCCCTCACTTTGCCAAAGGAGGGTTTGAGGCTTCAAGGAAGGGAGTGACTTTTCAGGTGCTCTGATGGCAAAGCCAGTGTCCTTTCTGCCAACTCCCAGGTCTGTGTGAACGAGGGGGAAGTTAGGGGTGGATTGTGCATGAGCGTGCATGCTTGCATGCACGTGTGCAGCCTTCTGAGGAGGTGGCTGGAAGGGGGACCCTCCTTTGGCTGGTGATGAGGTATTTCTAAGGAGGGCAGTGGAGGAAGGAGGCTGGCCAGCCTGGGAAGGGGAGCTAAGCCCCACCTGGACTGGAACCACCCCCCAGGACAGAGTCTGTGGCCAGGCTAGTCAGCTCCAGCTTGAATACCACCCGATGCGCATCTCAGGGAAGGGGCATGGGGCACCCAGAGAATGTTCTACCTGTGGTGAGAGTCATGCTTCCTGACAGCCCGTCCTCCCCCTCTGACCTTCCCAGCTGCTGCCAAGGAGCCCTCTGTGCCTCTCCAGG